GGTACCTACCTTTCCCAGGGAGGTCTTTATCACCTCAAACTGAACCAAGGGGCCGGCGCCGTGGCTCACTTGGCTAATCCTCCGCCTGCAGCACCGGCATCCCATATGGGCACCAGATTCTAGTCCTGGCTGCTCCTCTTCCAGTCCAGCTCTCTGCTGTGGCCTGGGAAGGCAGTGGAGGATGGCCCAAGTGCTTGGGCCCCTGCACCTGCGTGGGAGACCAGGAGAAGCACCTGGCTCCTGATCAGCATGGCTCTGATCATGGTGGCCATTTGGGGAGTGAACCAATGAAAGGAAGACCTTTCTCTCTGTCTCTCTCTCTCACTAACTCTATCTGTCAATAAAAAAAAAAAAAACCTGAATCAAGAGTGGGACAGCTCTTCCCACCCCCAATGTATGTCCACTTTCCTCGCTGTTCCCCCAAATGACACATAAACTGTTGCATTGTAGAAGTTTCACTGCTCGGTACAGCAAAAGCAAGAAGTGTGGGAGGCTAGAAAGTCTGTAGAAACCACAGGGACCTGCTAGTTGTGTTTCCCCAGCACCAGGGTTAGGGGCATCAACCAGACAGACAACACCCTTCTTCTCTGGCCAGCCTGTTCCAGGGACTCACTGACTCAACATAGTACGCTGGGAGGTGCTATGAACACAGGCACGACGGGGAGAGGGACAGACTACGGGAGTGCGGGCAGTTTTGGGAGTGGTTGGACTTTGAGCAGAGTCTTAAGGCGATGAGGAAGCAAACCGTGCAGATATCTGTGGGAAGCGCGATCCAGGAGAAGGAACCACTGGTGCCCAGGCCCTGAGGCCATGTGGGTGGAACAGGACCAGATGGGAGGCCCGAGAATCCTGCGATAAGAGGGATGAAAGGGAAAGAGCCTGGAGTTTGAACTGCACAGACCTGGGCTTGAATCTCAGCTCTGCTCCTTCCGTCAGGGATCTGGGGGTTCCCCTTCTCCTTATCCATAAATAATTGAGCACAAAAGGGAAATGGAGGATGAAGCCATCTACCGAAAGACACAGCATATGCCAGACCCCTACCACAAATAGCAGTTCCACTCCCCTCCCCCTGGTTCCAAGGTGCCTCTCGTCCAGTTCGCATCTGAAAGTATGACATTCCGTGCCACCAAAAGGGTCAAGATATAGAACCAAGTGCAAGAAGGCAAACTAGGGGCAGGCGTTGTGGTGCAGTGGGGTAAGCCATTACCTGTGACGCTGGCATCCCAACGAGCACTGGTTTAATTCTTGGCTGCTCTACTTCCAATCCAGCTCCCAGCTAACGAACCTGGGAAAGTAATGGAAGATGGCCCAAGTACATGGGCCCCTGGACCTACATGGGAGATCTGGATGAAGCTCCTGGCTTCAGCCTGGCCCAGCCCTGGCTGTTGCGCCATTTGGAGAATGAACCAGTGGATAGAAGCTCACTTTTTCTCTGTCTCCCCCCTGCCGCGCCGTAACTCTGCCTTTCAAATAAATAAAATAAATCTTTGTAGAAAAGAAGTGGTAAGCATCCATGGACAGCATTGTTGGCAAACATTTAGTCTCCACATTCAAAAATCTGGAAGAATCAAACTGTTAATGTGGGTGTTGCCTGGGAGTAAGATTATCAAAGATTCTGACCACTGATCTTCCACCTTCAAGGTTCCTATAACATCTGAACCTTTTACAAAGAGAACATATTATACAGGTGCAAGCAGGAGGCACACCACAGGCTAGCGCTGACTCAGGAGAATGATCTCCTGGCCCTGCCCTGTGCCAGTACTGAGCAGCTTCCATCCCGCTCCTATCCAAGAAGGCCAGAGCCAATGGTAGGAACTGTGATGTCTTCTCCATGGGGAAACTGAGAGCCAAGAGGACCAATGGGAACACCAGGGTTTGCAGGTGGAGGGCCACCACAGGAGGTCCTTGCGTGGGTGTGCCTGGCCAGCCACTTCTATTTGAAAGGGGATACAGCAAGTGAACCACTTTGGGAAAAACATGGGAACCCTTGCTATTGGTGCCACCAAGGAGAGGGAAGGAGACTGATGAAAATCAAATAATTCAAAGTAGGCTTGCTGTGAGCTGCTTTTGTGATTCAAGCTTGCTGAAGCTGAAAAAAAAAAAACCTTTAAAGAGCTCCAAATTAAGGGATACTATAAGAAAAGCCATATTTCACAACTAAGTAGCTCACAAGGTCAGTCAAGGAAAGACAGCCCAGCTCCCAGTGTCTCCCTCAATGACGACGTATTAAAAATGTGCATAATAATCAGTCACTGTGAGACATGTGAGTCATAGGGCTCAGAAAACTTTCAGTCCCCTCCCCCCACCCCACCCAAAGAAACCCTAGGTGAGAGGAATTAAAAAAAAAAAAAAGAATGCTTTAATGCCCATCACTGCCTGCGCGGCTTTTCTGGATTTAAAAATGTTTCAAAGGGAGAATGGAACGTAGTGCAGATGCATTTTTCAATCCTTTTGCACCCAAGTGGGTGCCCTGTTTGGATTCAATGCAATTGGGCTTGGCTGGAAGGCAGTGGGCCGTCCATTTCTTCAACACCTTCTGTTAAGAGGTTCCCAGCTGACACCGATGGGGATGCATCCCGCAGGAAAACCCATTTCCTCTCTGACACCTCTCACTGCTTCCTGCTGCTTCCCCAGTGCGGCCAGAGCTCATTTTGAGTTTATCTGATCAGAGAGTGGAAATCCCTGGGGCCGAAAGATGCCATCTTAGCATTGCCATAAGCACCAGGGAATGCGCCCTCCCGGCTCGTAGCCACTATCGCCCAAGGAAGAAAAGAGAAGTCCCAAGAGACAGTCTTCCGTTTCTTACTGAATATCGCTCATCAGTTTACAACTAAAAGCTGTGTCTTCCATGGAATATACTTTTCAAATCACTCCTCTCTCTAGTCAGCTATTCCTTCCTCACCACTGTGTCAACTAAGTGAGAACAGTCAAAAACCCGAAGCCCCATGGGATGAATTTCCCACTGATGCAACTTGAGTTGTCTCTAAGTCCAAGGAAACTCGGAGGAAATGTGTCGTAAAATCCAATACCTGCGTTAGGCTAATGCAGCTGCACGCAAGGGATGAAACAGACGTCCCCGGCTGCATGCACAGATTCCAAGAACTTTGAATGAATCATTGCTACAATTCGTGGAGCGACTGGATTACGGTCCATGGCTGGTAAGGACTCTGTCATCCCATTAAGACACTCAGACACAAGTGAGGTGGGCATTGTTGTTCCGATGCCTGGCCAGGAAACCAAAGGTAGTGTGCAGGGAGGGATGGGGTAACAAAAACCAGGAGTGCTTCGTTCTACCTGATGTGCACGCTGCATAGGTTCAATCTGGGGCGGGACGACTTTTTGAACTTAACTGCTTGCAGAGAAGAGTGAAACAGAAGCATGGCTTACACCCCGCTTCTCCTAGGCTTGGTGCCACCTCAAAAAATTCCACGCGGACCCATTCTGAAGCAACAGTTTGGCTTCCTGGAAAGCCACACAACACTGCTGTAGAATCTGTGACATGGAAAAATCAGACCCCAGCTGATAGGCTCATGTGTCAGCTTGACCGGGAGGAAAAGGGAGATGGAGTGGCAGCCCCAGGTTGGAAGGTTACCCCTCCTCCCCCCAGGCTCCACGCTGCCCCTGGGAATCCGATGCACTTGACTTTGCATCCTCACCCTGCCCCTGGCCGCCGTGTGACCTTGGGAAAGTCAGGAAACCCAAGCCTGAGCCTCATCGTCAGCATGGAGACAGCGGGTAGGTTCCAAGGAACAAATGGAATCACGCACCAGCAGCGTTTAGGTCAGTACCTTGCACCATAAGCATTCAAGAAAGGTGTCCTCGTGATGGGACCTGGCACTACAGTGCAGCTGGCACATTCCGACACTGTGCGATAACCACTCTCATCCTCTGCTGCCAGCTCTTGGTAGCCCGTTCACCACAGTATTTTGGGGGAGAGGGCAGGGAGGTAAGCAGTTCTATAAATCCCACTTTCCCGACTGTGGCTCCAAAGCAAGGTGAAACGCCCCGGGGAAATAGGTAAGCGATTGGGTCTCGAGGCTGTGATGTTATGGGTGTACAGAATACACACAAATCATACAGTTTCAGTCTACAACAGACGAGGCACCGAATCAGAGGTTTTTACTTGCAAAGAAACGACAGAGAGGCAGCATGACCAAAGGTAGGCAGCCGGCAACCCATTAGGGCCTATCACTGTGCCAGCACTGGTGACTATGAAATAGGGATCGGTGGGCCTTCCTGGGGGTCTGCCTGCCAACAGGTGGCCAGCTTCAGTCAGTCACCTTCAGATGCAAAACTGGAATGAGTCGTAAGCTCCACCATCAAGAGAAGACAATTTTCTGGGTTTGGGGCTCCCCAGCAAGTTGGCTGGCAAAGTGCTTGCTGTGGTTTGCACCTGTCTCCCGAAGGGAGGGTGAAAACCCACCCACCATCCTTGCCACACAGCCCATCGCACCGCTGGGGCGCCCCCCCCCCTTCCCGGGCCACCGGGAAGCCCACTAGGAAGTGGTCACGACCGACCAAGCCACAGATCCCCTGGGGTGTGGGATCTCCACCTCCACACCACGTCTGAAAGCCGAAAACAGGCGCCCGCTGGCCGCCCTGCAATGGGATTTCCCCCCACCCCGCCCCCAGCTTGCATGTTTTATTAATAAGTGCAAGATGGCACACACAGGCAAAGAATGGGAGGTAAGGCATCTGCAGCTGGACCCGAACCAGGGCAGTTTGCAAAAATAAATAAGAAGCATGTGACAAGAAGCAGGTCCCCCCCCCCCCCCCCCCGGGGAAGGGAGGCAGAAGCCCCGGGGTTGACCCCCTCCTCCCCTTCCTTTGGGGTGACCCCCCTACCGGGCAGTGGGGGATGAAGGTCAGCGGCAACATCCCAGTCCGCCCGGGCACGCAGCCCGAAAACCCTGCCCGGCCCCCACCCGCCTCCCGAGCCCCAGGACCCGGGCAGCGAGGCAGGGGAAGCCCCAGCCGCGGCCGGCGGCGAGGACACGTACCTGCTGCCTGCGCTCGGGATTCGCTCGGCTCGGCTCTGCAGCGGCGCCGGCCGCGGCTCGCGCTCCCGGGGCTCCCCCTCCGCCCCCCGCCCCCCCACCCCCGCCCTCTCGCGGCCCCGCCGCTCCCTCCGCCCCTCCGCCCACCGCGCTCGGGGGCGCGCGCGCGCGGCCTCACACACGAGGACATTCTGGGGCGGATTCTGTGAAAGAGCCGACACTTCCCACAAGCCACACAGGCCCAGCACACAGACGAATACCATTGTGAGCCTAAGCATGCGGCGCGACCCCTCTTCTGTATAGGAAAAGAGGGCCTGGGAGTGAGCCCGGCAGGGGGCGGGGGGCCGCGGCTCGGCCGCCAGCGAGGCGGAACGCGGCGTGCGGGCTCCGCGCGGTGGGTGAGGGGGTCGCGGGACAGGGTCGGGGGCCCGCGAGTTGGAGTGGCGTGAGGAGAGGGGGTCGCTGAAGTGGACGCGGGCGGGGCGGAGGCGCAACAAGTGCTGAGGCCGAGGCGGGGGCTCCCCGCAGGGAAGCGGGGGGTCCCCACGCCGGGGGTTCTGCGGGCCGCGAGCGGAGCCTCGGGTGGCGCGGTGCTTCGCTTTGCGGTTCGCAGAGTGCGGGGTCTCGGTCCTGGGAGGGCGCGGGTGCAGGCCACTGAGGGGAGCCCGGCGCAGTGGGAGCCCCGGGACCCCCGACCCCGGGAGACGAGCCCCCGCCGGTGCCCTCCTGCGAAGGCTGCAGGTCAGCCCCGCGTGGGGCAGTGCCCCTCTCTATTCCTTCTTCCTCCTTCCGCCTTGTTAGACGCCCTGCAGCCTCCCCGCTGGAATCCACGCTGTGCCGCCCCCGAGGACTGCAGAGGGGCCAGCGCCTTGCACCTGCGTAGTTCACCTGTGGGAATGCTTGCTCCCGGGGGGCCCGTGGTTCCCTAATTAGGGGGTGGGGTCAGTGGAGTCCCCTGAGTCATCGATGCACCTACAGGTATTCTCTGTAGGTTAAAAAAAATGTCCTCACGCATACAGGTTTGTCGCAGAATAAGTATCATGTAACCTGGGCAAACGGAGGTGCTCTGAAATTGAAATAGATGTTCCATCAGAAACGAGCTACCTTTGCTTGTATGCGTCGGTACTTGAAAAGGTTCTTGGAACTAGAACTAAAAAAAATTTTTTTTTGATGCAAGAAAATTGAAACGCATGCTTAAGAGAGGTGTTCAAGAGGTTCATGGGAAATATGTGTTACAAAAAAAAAATGCTTGGATTTCAAAAATGTTTTCTGCATGAAAGTAAACTTTTCATTTGGTTTTCCCCCGTAGTTTTTGAAGTACCCTCGGCCAGTTATAAAGAAATCAGTTCTGCTGTGCTCAGTGATATGGCTCATTATTTGTGAAAGTAGATGTAACAGTCTCATGGGCAGGTTAAAATGCGTGTAGTTACATAGCGGGAGAAGACAACGCATATGAGTGCAGCTGGAAGAGAATAATCTGTTTTTTAGGAAGGAGGAACAGTAAAGAGGAAAGCAAAGGAAGAGGTTTTTTTCCCCTACATTTTTGGAAGAAAGAAGCAGGGATTGTAAAGGAAAAAAGTGAGGATGGGTTAAGAAAACTGAGCACTGGCTGGGTGGCATTGGGGGGTGTCGTTTTGACAGGTGAGAGCAACATTTCAGCTACTTTTTTTTTTTTAAAGATTTGTTTAATTTATTTTAGAGCTACAGACAGAGGAGAGACAGAGAGGTCTTCCATCTGTGATTCACTCCCCAAGTGGCCACAACAGCCGGAGATGCACCGATCAGGAGCCAGGAGCTTCTTCCAGGTCTCCTGCATTGGTGCAGGGGCCTAAGGACTTAGACCATCTTCTGCTTTCCCAGGCCATTAGCAGGGAGCTGGGTCGGAAGTGGAGCAGCCATATGGAATGTTGACACCTCGGGCGAAGGCTTAACCTACGACGCCACAATGCTGGCTCCGTTTTGGCTACTTGACTTGATGTAGAAAAAGCATTGGCGTCACTTGTTTCAACTTCTCAACTTCATTTTTGCCCACTTAGCAAAACTCTGTGTAAGGGTTGACTAAAGCCACTAGAACACATCCAGTTACAATGCCTTCGAGTTGAATAGGGCAAGTGTTCTGAGACTTGCTGAGAAAAATCGGAGGACCACTCTAGTTTACCTCGAATCTTTGTGCTCTGATAGAATTTTTTATTTTTTTAATTCTGGGGCATGCTACCACAAAGGAACATTTTTTTTTTTTTATGATGGCTGTCTATAAAGACCCTGAGGAGAGAAATCTTTGTGAGAATTACATGCTAATATTGTCTACCTATTTATTTTAAGTATGCTGCTTATTTTCTTTTTTGGGTAATCTGAGCTCATGAAAAGTGTAGCTGCAACCATTCCATGTTGTGGTACTAAGTAAAAAAAAAAAAATCCACAGATATGTGTGATTTGTTAGCTCTGTGCTGCTCCCTGGTGGTGTCCTATGGCACAGCACATGCTGGAACTAAAATCTTTCCTCTTGGTAATTTCTTCATTCTTGAAGAATGAAGGTGCCATTGGGTTTTCTCCCAACCTGTCCTCCTCTGGTTTCCTAATGTCCTAAGGCCTAACAGCTGGAGGAGGATTCGCCCATGAGGCTGATCAGTTTCTAGGTGATGAGATGCAGCAGGCTTTGCGGTTGCTGGCAGCATTATTCTTCCATGTGCCTGGCCTGTACAGAACACTTGCTTAAGATCAGGTTCTGGGGCCTGTGCCGTGGCACTGGCATCCCATGTGGGCACCGGGTTCTAGTCCCGGTTGCTCGTCTTCCAGGCCAGCTCTCTGCTGTGGCCTGGGAAGGCAGTGGAGGATGGCCCAAGTGCTTGGGCCCTGCACCCGCATGGGAGACCAGGAAGAGGCACCTGGCTCCTGGTTTCGCATCGGCACAGTGCGCCAGCTGTAGTGGCCATTTGTGGGGAGGTGGGGGGCAACAGAAGGAAGACCTTTCTGTCTCTCTCACTAACTCTGCCTGTCCTAAAAAAAAAAAAAAATCAGGTTCTGGAGTCTCATCCCAAACAAACTGAAACCTAATTTCCAGGGGCTCAAGTTGTGCTTTTTATTTTTTTGAGCGCCCCAGGTGGTTCTTATTGATAGGAGAGGTTGGGGACTCCTAGAGCCAGAAATGGCACAGGTGCTGCAGGTGACTAACAAGAGGGGGTTTTGTGGGCAGCGCAGCTCTGCGGCAACAGGAAGATAGGAGCTATAAAGCAGGAATGGGGAAGACGTCCACTGTGGGTTTAAGCCTTGTCTGTCTTGCAGGTAGACCTGTCTGTACTGTGGCTGTCGTGGGGATGCTGTCACACACCAGAATGCTGTTGGAGGTAAGCCAGTTGATCTTTCAGTTAAAAAGACTGTCTTTTCACACGTGCCAGGCTCACAGCGGCAGAGAATGTGCGCTTGTGTGCAGCTGCAAGATGATGGGAGGCAGACTGGAGATTACGCTGATCCTCTGAATGTTGGAAAAAAGATTAATATCAGCATTAGAACTTTCCCCCTCTTGAGGTAGCTGCTTATAAAAATAGAATGTAGGAATCTGATGCCACCTGATTTGTGAAAACTTGAGTAATACTGAAAGTCCTCGAATTGCCAGTGTTTACATAAGTGTTATTTTGAAAACTCTTCTGAATCTATTTTTAAAGATATTATATATTTTAAAAAGATATATTTATTTTTAGGAGGCAGAGTTACAGAGAGAAAGAGGAGAGACAGAGAGAAAGGTCTTCCATCTGCTAGTTCACTCCTGAAATGGTTGCAGTGGCCAGAGCTGAGCCGATCCGAAGATGATCCAATCCAGAGCCAGGAGCCAGGAGCCAGGAGCTGCTTCTGGGTCTCCCACACAGGTGTAGGGGTCCAAACACTTGGGCCATCTTCCACTGCTTTCCCAGGCCATAGCAGAGAGCTGGATCAGAAGAGGAGCAGCCAGGTCTAACCAGTGCCCGTATGGGATGGCAGCACTGCAGGCGGAGGCCTAGCCTCCTATGCCACAGCTCTGTGCCCCTCTTTTTTTTTTTTTAAGATTTATTTATTTATTTGAAAGGCAGAGTTACAGAGAGGAGGCAGAGAGAGAGAAAGAAGCAGAGATAGAGAGGGAGGCAGGGAGAGGGGAGGGAGGCAGGGAGAGAGAGGGAGGCAGGCAGAGAGGGAGGGAGGGAAGGAGAGAGAAAAGGAAGGAAGGAAGGAAGGAAGGGGAGAGAGAGAGAGAGAGAGAGAGGGAAAGCGCTTCCATCCACTGGTTGACTTCCCAAATGGTTTGCCAGCTGGAACTGGGCCGATCCAGAGCGAGGAGCTTCTTCTGTGTCTCCCACATGGGTACAGGGACCCAAGAAACTTGGGCCATTTCTGCTGCTTTCCCAGGCCATAGCAGAGAGCTGGATCGCAAGTGGAGCAGCCGGGTCTCTAACCAGCGCTCGTACGGGATGCTGGCACTGCAGGCAGTGACTTTACCTGCTACACCACAGCACCAGCCCCCTAAATCTTGATTTATAACACAGCCTTACTTATTAGGAAGACACAGGGATAAAGCCAATCTAAGTCAGTGAAAAGCTTGAAAACTGGAATAGATGTGACTTTCTGTGGTATTTCTTTTAAGTACACACTTGGTAACTGCTAACGGTTTTTTGTTTGAATCCTGTTGGAGGAGCTTTAATGAATACATACGAGTAACCTGTAATTAGCACCACTCGTGTGCATGCAGTCTGTGTGGCTACAACACAAAGCACAGTGCTGTACACTCATAGTGTACCCTCCATAAACATGAATGGTTGAAACATAGCGTAGGCCCTCCGTAAACATCAGTGGTTGAAAGTTTTTTTCTTGAGTAGGACAAGTATACCTCTTAGTGTGACAAGGCTGTCTTGAACGGCAGTACCATAAGGGCAAATTTCTCTTTGAGCAGTGGCAAACCAAGAGTGGGGCACTACTGCGGTCACCTTGGGGGTAGGCACGGGTGATCCTCATTATCTGTAGAGAATTTAGACTATAATGACCCCGCTGGAGGTCTACCTGCTTCTTAATACCAGTAGTTTTCATGTCAGTGATTCCACACAGTGTTGGGGATGAAATACTGCTGAGA